CTGAAGGGTGCCCTCAGTTCGGTTTAGTGTCAGATATCAAACATTGAAGAGCCCAGAAATTATATGTATGACCACTCATGCCTTGTGTATAACTTATTTCGTCCTTGTATATTTTACCCGTAGGTCGTACGTTTTACTTGTGACCTTCTCGCTGTGATAAATCCGTCCTGATGTATTTATTCCGGATTGTGAACGAAAAAAAAAGAATATGATAAAACGTTAATTTCATGCAAGAGGTCTGTCTAGTGATCTTTTCTTGTATTATTCTCAGTGTCTGTAGAGAGTGAAATAAAAAGTTTCTTGTTTGAGAAAAAGACGTGTCATGTAGGGTCGTGAAGCAAAAATTGTAGTCTATGAATGTACTCTGTGACTCTGTGCAAATTTGCATTTGTTAAACATGTTTGTCAACTGGGATGGTGTTTGCGGAACTTTGAATGTTGTCTGAAGTATGTGTTCCTGTGAGAAACTGGTCTTGTGCATTTTTTTTTTCTTTTGGTCATTGTCTGCCAATGGGTGATTGCCTTTAGAGGGACGTTTTATTATTATTATTATTATTATTATTATTCAAGTGAATATGAAAATATCTCATCTTTTTCTCATCTTTTGGTAAAAAGATATGTTTGACCCAGTCTGTTTTTGTATTGTATGCTTGCCTTTTGACGAAAGAGTTTTCTCAGCCCAGAAAAATGAGAGTTGTGGTTATTGAAATGTTGTTGGGTTGTTGTTGTTTTTCTCATGACATGAATGTGTTAGACTGAAATCTTCATGCTGCTCCGCTCTGGGATGAGGTTGTTGAATGAACAAGTTCGAATCTTAGATGTGGTTGAGCCTTTTTTTTAAAATTCATTATTGTGTCGGGTGATGGAAGAGTGAGGTTTGTTAACTCTTTGAACTCTGATTTTTTCCACCTTTTCCCGAAGTTTTTTCTACAGTCACCTAAACCTGGTGCACTATTGTCTCACTAGAACCCCAAAAGCTTGCCCCCAACTTTTAAATAGAGGAAACAAAGGCTTAGTCAGTGCTTAAAAACTTGGGGTGGCAATAGTTCCGAAAAACAAGCAAAAATTAGCTCTAAATGAAACGAAACAGTTGTCACGAGTACTGGACGCTGCCAGCGTCTGATGGGGAACAGGGTTATTACCGCCGGATGCTCCTAGTGTCTGATGGGGTACAGGGTTATTACCGCCGGATGCTCCTAGTGTCTGATGGGGTACAGGGTTATTACAATCGGATGCTCCTAGTGTCTGATGGGGTACAGGATTATTA